CACCATAATATACAACATGCCAGAAACAATACATGTATCTCAGTAAGGCTGCAGGACAACAGACTTCTGAATTCTTCAAAGCAACTTGGACTTCATTTTTAGGATGCTAAATATTTTTCTTGTTTGGAAACTCATTATGTTTTGCTGTTTGTGCAAAGAAGATGGGGGACTGGAAATGGCTTACTTACCCACGCTGTCAACTGTGGGGAATAAACCCAAGAATCAAACAGAAACCCAGTACCCTAAAGCCTAGCAGTATTGTAAATCGTGTATTTAGCAAAAATTACAAAGTAACTGTGCCTCTCTCTGACAACCATCCATCTTCAGTATTAGTCATCCTCAAAAAGTCACGCAGGAGCAGTTTATCTGATAATTCTTTGAAAAGTTCTGTCCACCTACATGAGAAGACTTGGCCCACTCTGCTATGCAAGTGCATTGCAGTGCAACTTGCACTTGTGAGGAAATCACTAGGTATTACTCTGGTTTCTTTGTGTACTAATGTCATTGCCGAGTGATATTCTTCACTTTACCTAAGGACACATACATCTGACCTCCAAAAGAAATCAGATTGCAACAGGGCCTTACACCTAATTTAAATAAAACAAAAACCCCTCTTTAATTGAGCAAGATGGAGCCTCACTTGAATGGTGCTCAATTGTGTGAAGGTTTGAGAAGTGGCTCCCATAGACCTTGGGAAGTTGGAAGGGTGTCTCACAGCCATCTCTGAAAGAAGGGTGATGACGTCCCTGGAGTACTGGGGTGTGTGTAGCCCAAAGGCCTCCAGCTCCATTGCTTCCCCTGCTGCCTGGTGAGGAATGGGCAAAAGCACCCCATATGTACAGCAAAACATGATGGATGCTGTGCCCTCACAGCAGTCAAAATATATCATCAAATATGAAAAGTCTGTTTGTGCACAGTACCCTGTTCTATACAAGTGGTAGTTCCCTTCTACCTTGCACTCTTCCCAGTGCACAACAGCTATGAAAAAATGTGGAGGATTCTGCAGGAGAAAAACTCTAATCACTGCTTCCAGTCTGAGTTGTGAAAGCAGGCAGGAGTCTTTGTTTTCAACCTCAGGGAGATACATCTCTGTCTTGGAAAAGAGTTAAAGGAAGACCCTCTCAGCTAAAAAATTGTTAAAACTCCATAGGAGTCCCAACTGTTCTTTTATTTTTTTTGAGATTTTAATTTCCTTTTTTTTTCAGGCCATCACTATAATCCTATGTAATGGATGTAATGGAATCTGTTCATGCCTCTTGTTCTGTTGCTATATTTCATTTGCAGCTGTATGGTGTACATACCTTTTAGCTGCTGATATATGTTGTCTCTAGTCTTTAGTGAGCTTAATTGTACTGCGTGTTCTCCATATGCCATAGAAAGTCTGTCCAAGTCCTAATCTTCTTACACAAAAAATAACTGAGCTGCAAAGCCTGGCAGTGCTATTAAAATGCTTGATGGGATTTCTGTGCATTAGGACTTGTATGTGAGTGAATGTACATGTGTGTATATGTGTGTGTGTACATGTGTCTCCATGTGTGTCAGGGGAGGAGGAGAGAAGAAAACCTTTCTGTCATATCCACCTGAGCAATTCAGGAGAGCATACTCATTAGTGTATTTGGCAAATATATTAAAATGGATTGAATAAACAAGTTTAGTTTGTATCTGCAAGTTTCAAACACTTATCTTTTTCTGAAGGCAAGTTTTCATAATAAGCATGCATATTTTTCCACAGCAATGTAAGCAAACAACAGCAGAGCCTCAGCCTTGAGTTAATTTTTGTGATGCATTTTTGTGCCTTGTAAACAACTATTTATTGCCATGTTTATACCAAGAATGTGGGAACAGGGAACTGTGACTAATTAAGAATTTCAAAAATTAGGAAAAAGGCTAGGATTTTAATAATGAAGAATATGGTCAACAGGATGACTTCCGTGAACAAGGTTTTAGAGCAAAAAAAAGACACACTCAGTAATTTGGATGGACTCCTGATCCTACCAGAACAAGTAGCAAAACTAATTTCTTAACGTGTCGTATGAAAGCACAAAAATTTTCAGTATTGCTTCTTTGTACTGGGGCAAGAAATGATTTTTTATAAAAGGGTTTCAGTATAAATATTTTCTTTTGGCAAAATTAAAAGCTCCTACTTATAACACAAACTGAAATTATATGTAGTTTTGCTGGAACCTTAGCTGTTTTGTGTGTGTGATAGAGATCAATGTAATCAAAGTGAGGTAGTTTCAATAAAAGAGAAAATTCAAAGGAAAAAGAGGCTTATAAAAAGTGGAAGCAAGGACAAGCAGCCTGGGAAGAATACAGGGATGTTGTTCAGGAAGCTAGGGAACAGGTTAGGAAAGCTAAGGCCCAGTTAGAATTGAACTTCGCTAGAGATGTTAAGGATAACAGGAAGGGATTCTATAGGTACATAGTGAAGAAAAAACAGAGTAGGGGCAATGTAGGCCCCCTCCGGAAGCTATTGGGAAAACTGGCTACACAGGATTTGGACAAAGCTGCGGTGCTGAATGACTTCTTTGCCTCAGTCTTCACTTGCAAAGGCTCTGACAGCACAACCCAAGTCTTGGAAGGCAGACGCAGGGACTGTGAGAATGAAGACCTTGAGCCCACTGTAGGAGAGGATCTGGTTCGAGACCATCTTAAAAACCTGAACATACACAAGTCCATGGGACCTGATGAAATCCATCCGTGGGTCCTGAAGGAGCTGGCGATTGAAGTTGCTAAGCCACTGGCCATCATATTTGAGAAATTATGGCAGTCAGGTGAAGTTCCTGACAACTGGAAAAAGGGAAATATAACCCCCATTTTCAAGAAGGGGAAAATGGATGACCCGGGGAATTACAGACCAGTCAGTCTCACCTCTGTGCCTGGCAAAATCTTGGAGCAGATTCTCCTGGAAGGCACGCTAAGGCACATGAAAAACAACAAGGTGCTTGGTGACAGCCAGCATGGCTTTACTAAGGGGAAATCCTGCCTGACCAATTTGGTGGCCTTCTATGATGGGGCTACAGAACAGATGAACAGGGGTAGAGCAGTTGATGTCATCTACCTGGACTTGTGCAAAGTGTTCGACAGTGTCCCACACAACATCCTTGTCTCTAAATTGGAGAGACATCAATTTGATGGATGGACCCCTCAGTGGATAAAGAACTGGCTGGATGGCTGCACACAAAGACTTGTGGTCAATGGCTCAATGTCCAGCTGGAGACCAGTAATGAGTGGTGTCCCTCAGGGATCAGTGTTGGGACTGGTCTTGCTCAACATCTTTGTCGCTGACATGGACAGTGGGATTGAGTGCGCCCTCAGCAAGTTTGCCGATGACACCAAGCTGTGTGGTTCGGTTGATACGCTGGAGGGAAGGAATGCCATCCAGAGGAACCTTGACATGCTTGTGAGGTGGGCTGATGCCAACCTCATGAGGTTGAACCATGCCAAGTGCAAGGTCCTACACCTGGGTCAGAGCAATCCCAGGCACAGCTACAGGTTGGGAAGAGTAGAGATTCAGAGCAGCCCTGTGGAGAAAGGACTTGGGGGTGTTGGTCTATGAGAAAATGAACATGAGCTAGCAGTGTGTGCTCTCAGCTCAGAAAACCAACTGTATCCTGGGCTGCATCAAAAGCAGCGTGACCAGCAGGTTGAAGGAGGTGATCCTGCCCCTCTACTCTGCTCTTGTGAGACCTCACCTGGAGTATTGTGTGCAGTTCTGGTGTCCTCAACATAAAAAGGACATGGAACTGTTGGAACAAGTCCGGAGGAGGGCCACGAGGATGATCAGGGGACAAGAGCACCTCCTGTATGAAGACAGGCTGAGAAAGTTGGGGCTATTGAGCCTAAAGAAGAGAAGGCTGTGTGGAGACCTCATAGCAGCCTTCCAGTATCTGAAGGGGGCCTATGGGGATGCTGGGGATGGACTGTTCATTAGAGACTGTAGTGACAGGACAGAGGGTAATGGGTTAAAGTTTAGATAGGATATAAGGAAGAAATTCTGTACTGTGAGGGTGATGAGGCACTTGAATGGGTTGCCCAGGGACGCTGTGAATGCTCCACTACTGGCAGTGTTCAAGGCCAGGTTGGACAAATCCTTGGGTGGCATGGTTTAGTGTGAGGTGTCCCTGCCCATGGCGGCAGGTTTGAACTAGATGATCTTAAGGTCCTTTCCCACCCTAACTATTCTATGATTCTATGATTCTAATAAAAAGGAATCCAGATGACATTCCACATCAAGCTCTCTTTCCATTGTCTCCGTTGACAATAATTCCAAATTATTTCTAATTTCTGCCAAAGTATGGCTGAGACTTCTCTTGAGGAACTTCAGCATTCAGAAAGCCTGAGGTTTCAGTTTTGCCTTTGCTGTATCACCTACTTCATGATCTAAGCATGTTACTAACAAGTCAGGAAGAAGATGAGGCCACAGAGGTGACTCCCTGGGTTTCTCATGAATGTGGTATTGAACACAAATTCCACAGCCAGAGGAACTCTTCCCTGACAGCTTTTTGGAGAGCAGCTCGTCATGTTTGGTAGGCATTCCCCTGCCTTTCTCACCTCCCCAGAGAGGAAGCTTTATTTTTCTTTTCAAAAACAGAGAGCTGAAGAAAACCAGGGAGCCAATATTTATAGGCCCTTGGAGCACTCTCCTGTCTCTGAATCTGTTTTAGCAAAGTGGGTGGAGAGAGTTTGTGGCACAGAGCTTACACTGGGCACAGCCATCCTACTACCCCTAGCAGCACTGCCACGAAGGAGGGATGTGCCTGGGCTGGTCCACCCATGTGTAAAACCAGGCACAAGCTGATACTGTTCTTGGTATGTGATCTGTGTACCCAAAGTCCTTTCTCACCTCCAGATCGGTATCATGGAACTCAGCTCAGATGTTAACAGGAAGCTGCAGTGTCGTTCACTCCACCAGCAGTGTGGGATGCCAGCAGTCCCCTGGAGCATGAACATTACTGTAAGTACTGAGTGGAAAGACTGAGCTTTAGGAAACATTTCCATTGGATGTTTGATTATTTTGTGTCTGTAAGAAAGGCTGTCATACTCAAGCAAGGCAGCCACAAGAGGTTGTTTAGTTATATGTCAGGATCACAAGCTACAGGCAAAAAATGCAGACCCCAGCTCTGCTTTTGTCATTAGCCCCCATCCTTCTTCCTCCTGATATTTTTTATTTAGTTCACAATTAATTTTCTTTCTTCAGTCACTTTTTACTTTTTTCCCCACTTTTCTTCTTCCCGAGTTCTCTGTTGCCAGAAGAACGTTCAGTTTTGCAGATGGAGAAAACAAATTTTCAATTGCAGACAACAGCAGGAAAATCCTGCGTAGGCTCATCTTTCCCCTTCCCAACCCAGAAAAGCAGACAGGAAGAATGAATCATCCCACACTTCTGAATGGCTGTGTCAAACCTACCTGGATTTGAGTGCAGAGTTTGTGTCTTGTTCTCCTGCTATCCCCTCAGCAAGTTAACTCGCAAAGAGGCAGAAGGCAATTAGACCAGATTGGACCTCATCTTACAGTCACAGTGATGGACCATTTCTCAGAAGAGATCAGCTTTGCCCTGTCTGGTGTCCTAGTAATGTTCATCTCTCCTGCTTGGGAGCAAGGAGAGGGCTGAGGAGGCACCAAGAGCCCCCTCTGAACTTCAGGTCTCTCCAGGCACTCTAATCCCTTCTATTTTGCACGATTTTCATGCCATCATATCTGTCTGCCCAGTTTTTTCTCCTCTACCCCTTTTCGTTCTCTGCTCATGCACCCTTCTAGCACCCCCTTCCCAGCAAAATGCACAGGAAGGCAGAGAAGCCTGGCATTGGCCTTTCAATATATTTAAATACTAGAAATTCACTGAGCTGGAAAATTGTAAATCTGCAATTTTATTGAAAAAGGTGGTCACCCTGTTCTTTGCAGCCATGTTCAGAGACAGCAGGATAATTAATGGACCCTTATGTGACACAGAGGCAAAAAATGACACATTTTAATGAAACTGGTAAGATGACTTTTCAATTTCTAAGAAACAGACTTCCTATGTTTAGTTTTGCTTATTGTTAAAAAAAAAGATGGATAAAACCATCCTGTGCAGGTGGAAAGACTGGCACACAACCCTTTTTGCCTCTGAACTAACATGGAGGAGGAAAGCAACTGGCACTGAAGAATTAGTTATTGTCTGCTAACAGTGTGCATGTGGTGCCTACCCTGCACCATGTCTAGACACCTTCTTAGCATTTCACGTAACAGCATTTCAAATCAAAACAGAGACAGACCAGAGCTGTCATCACAGCTCATTTCAGTTATAAAGTGCATCCTACTTGATATGCTGCTGGGAAAGTTAAGCAAGACACACACAAGTAAAAAAGCTTACAAGCGGGCAGTATAAAAGGGGACGCAAAGGACACCAAAAAAGAAAATAAATGTTAAAGGTTTCAAAGGTAGGGCAGGAGTCTCTCACATAGAGGGGGAGTATAAATTAAATGAAACAGAGCTTGTCATCATCTTTTACAAAATGTGGGTGGACTGATATAGTTGTACTGAATTATAGATAGTGTCGTGAATTATGTGTGTAAAGAGCTACTAGACACGTGACATAACCCCAGTCTAAAGGAGAAAAAAGGCACAGAGCTGTACAACCTGGCCACAGAAATACAGAAGGGGTGAGAAAAGCAGCACCAGATTCTTTATGGAAACCCTTATAAATTAAGGACGTGGTATTAATTTAAAATGGAATACCTCCTCCAGAATAACTAAATGTACATGTCTTATTGGATTGGATTGGAATACTTTTTCTGAATTAGCAAAGCCGTGTTACTAGGAAGATGTCTTCCAGAATAAGTCATTCAGCAGCTAAGCACTATGAGAAAAAAAGTGTTCTGTATAGATGATGGGGAATATGGCAGCTGTAGAACAAGCTCTTGGTGCTGATGGTCACTTGCCTTTGATAGATAATTAAGATTTCCTAACATCCAAATGAAATTGTTGGCTGGGGCCTGAGCCTTCAGTGCTCTTAGGAGGAGCTCTGCCAAGTAAAGATAATTGAAATGCCAGGTTAGAAACAGATTTCTTCCACACTTGCTGTTCTCCTTATTCTGCCAGCTCTGTCATTCAGTCTCTTTAACACATCCATCCTTCAGGAGCTGAGTCATGTGTTTAGTCCCTCATTTACACTGCAAACCCTGCAAACATTGGGTATAGCTGGAAATGGCATGAGCTACTGATATCTGTCAAGGCTAACTATTAATTCAACCCCATGATATTTAAAAATAAAGAAAGAAGAGTGTATCAATTTGTTTCTCTACTTAAGTAAGCTGCATCATTTATGAATATAGCCTGCGTACTAAAAGAAAAGCATCTGCTGTGAGGTTGGAAAACAAATTATTATTGCCTGTTAACATCTTTACATAAATATTTGGGAAATGTGTTTATTAATGTTGTATTTTTAATGGGTTCTCTCCTGTTAACCCCACAGCCACTTCAGCTTCTTATTGTTCTCCCAGCAGTTGCACATATTTATAGCAAATCAGGCCTGATGAACCACAGGCGTTTTCACACTTGTTTCCATAGCTGGGTGCAGCACTTGGTGAGAGGAGCCACTCAGGCATATGGCCTGTAATAAGCTGAACTCCAGCGAGTTGGAATCTCCTGCCTCAACAGCTATTTGGGCATTTGTTTTCTTGCAGCAGCTCTTTCATTATTTCTCTCCCTTTGACAAAATGATGAAAGCAGTCACAAGGCTTATGTGCCACCAAATGTTGCCCATATTCCAGTAATCAGGCAGAAAACCGGGAAGACAAGCATGGATAAGACACCTGATGACTCAGAAAGTCTTGAGGACTGAAAGGCACATATTCTGCTGAAACAGAGATTAATACACACTCAGAGCTTCCCAAACCAGCTATGGTCGCTTGTGGTGACCTGTCAACTGAAGTTTTTCATGCAGCAACTGGTAGTCTCAATTTTCTCTCTTACACCAAAACTGGGATAATTATTTTTACAGTATATCTCCCCATTAATTATTACAGCGTTTTGTTTAGAGACACACCAACTTAAAGGCATTTGGATACTTTAATCCGTTAAGGTCCTTTCCAATCCCAACCATTCTATGATTCTATCTCTGTGAAAAATATCACTTAAGCAGGTGATGTGCCTAGTGCAATGCCAGAATTGGAAAACCTTCAGTCAAATGAGTGAACTAACATAAGGGTTTGCTCAACATAAACATGCAAGGAAGAAATGGGTATGAAGAAAAAGCTTTATCGCTGGCCTAAAGAATGGCAAGTCATATAATTTCTGAGGAGAATTCAAGGGGACTTTCAGCAAACTAGGCCTTGTTTCCCTTTTCTCAAGCCTGTATCTTGAGTACACAAGCTGATCAAACATGTATTGCTACCAAAGATACAGGACAACAGCTAGGTTGCCTTTTGAGCCCCCAGGATAGCACGGAGAGCACTCTACTTTTGTCCTAATTGGAACCAACAGAAAAGTTCTACATCAAACTGTTTGCAGTAGAGAATGGATCTTTCAGTGGCAGTGAATTATTCCTGAAATGGTTCTGCTTTCCACAGAACATTTCAAGTTTTCATTGAAAACCTGAGCAGGCAAACCAAGAAACTAGTTAAAATACTTCAGTTCTGAAGGGGCATCACAGCTTGACTCCAGAGGTCTCAAGTCCATCCTCTTCCTGTTCTTTGTTGGGGACTTTGCCCCTCAGCCAAACTACATTTCCCAACAAGCTCTGGCCAGGCAGCAGTGCTGATGCACACCTTTCCACCTACACAGGAGAAGAATACTGTTCATTATGGAAGAAGCAATGAAGTCAAGGAATCACCAGTTTATTTGTTGGGTCTTGCAATCCTCTCCACCTCAGTCACTGTTGAAGGGGTAGGGAAGAAGAAAACATGAGTGAAGAGCAACATGGAAGACAAACGGGCATGGATCCTTTGAGCCTACTAAACTGCAGCAGCTATTTTGTGTAAGAAGCCAAGTGGTTCTAGAGGACCCTCCAAATATGACGAGGAGAGTCACTGGGATATGAAAAAACAATTGAACAGAAAAAGAGGCCATTCAGTCTTGCTCAGTGACAGCTGTAGGATATGTCAGCCAGCTTTCATATAGAGATCAGCTCAGCACCCAGTCTGAAAGCCAAGAAAGAATATGTTGGGCAAAGGGAACTTTAAACACAAATAGCACAAAAAGAACCACAAAAAAGTACAGAAAAGATTCAGGAAAGTAGTCTTGACATCCTCAAGCAGGAAGTGCGCACTGACAAGAAAAGTAATTTAAAGTCAACTGGTGACTGTACTTACTTTCCAGAGAGGCTTGCTTTTGATTTCTCCAAGCAAAGTCTCATCTGGTATAACTTAGATAGCTGATTTCAGTAAAATCCATGTCAATTTGCCTGTTGAGCCTCTTGCCTTTAGAGAACTGGTATATTATCTAAGGTGAAAAATACATGCTTTGGCTGTGCTTAAATTTCTTCTCAAGCAGAAAATATTGTGAACTGGAAGCTTCATAACTGACAATGTTTCCTCCCAGCTATTCAAAAAACAGAGGTAAAAAGTTGCTTTCGCTCCTGAGATCAAAAAAAAAAAAAAAAAATATCTGGAGTTTAGTTTTGAAAGGAAAAGGGAATCTTCTGAAGCAGGGTGAAGACTAGGGATGTTAATATAGAGAAGCTCTTAAACATATCTGCAAGGAGGATCAGAAATAAACATGCAAAAGGAACTCAACACATTTCTCAAAGGGAAAAGTTATGAATGATTTGATATGTTTGAAACTTGTTGAGATGGCTTTCAGAACAGAAATATCAAGAGACTCTTGATCAAGCGAATCTAGGAGAGGCAGAAAGAGAAGCAGAGGTGAAGGAATATAAGCCCATAGCAAAAAAAGTATTTTCTTGCTGTGTTTCAGGCCCTTTTTCTTTTGGGTTAGAGCTGTTGTGGAAGGAAAAGACATAAATATGTGAGCACCTCTCTTTTAAAGCTGGGTAACATCCACTGAGCCTCAGAAAAAGGTTTGGTTTGGATACTAAGGAACAAACTCTGATCACTTCTTATCTGAGTGTTTCTCATTTAGACATCCTCCTGTACAAGGTAAAATAATTGATGAGCTGGTCAGGTAGGGAAATGCCAAACAGGGCACCAAATTATAGTAGAAGGAAGGTTGATCTACAGGAAGAATTAGCCTCTGGATTCTCTTGAGTCACATAGAAAACAGGAAAGATAAAGAAATTGTCAGACGCTGATAAAGAGTTTACTGGATTGTTTAGACTGTGCCAAGTGTTTTGCAGGGCAGGATGTTCAGCAGTGCTTTTAGTGCTGCTCCAAAAAAAGGCTTGCATATGATCTTCCCTTAGCTTAACATCGGTGGGCAAGCATGCATATGGTCAACCTGGGTGACTTGGTCGTTGGTAGGAGCTTGGTGATGATACACAGAGTAGCAACAGATCCATGACTACCCTGCCTTTATCCATTCCTGCTACCCCAGTACTGGTGATGCAGAAACTAGCTGTAACAGCAGAGAAGTGCCTAGCATGGCTGGAAGGGCATGTACCGTTCCCATGTGCTGTTGAGATCTTCACCTGTCAGCTCCATCCTGATGTGAGGTCTCACTGGTGGAGCTGATATAGATGCCTGCAGCTACTGCTGTGCTCATCTTTGATCAGCTGAACTTAAAATGCAAGTTGCTGTTGAGGCAGTGTGACTTTTCTTTCTCCAAGATGTGGATGCTCTCAACTGTTTAAAAAGTCCGTGTTGAATATTCCCATGTGTGTGTCCATACTCTGTTATTTGCAATATCTGCTTTGAAGCATTAAAGCAAAATGCCTTTGTCAGCTTTGTCTTTTTCTATTTGACAACTGCTGATGTCATTTTACTTCTGTTTGTGAATCTCAGCCTGCTTGCTGCTGAGTCACAGAAGAAAGCAACAGACAATAAATATAACTGCTTGTCAACTCAGAAAGATGTAGACCACTGGAATAACAATCAGGAAGAGAGTCTTTTTTAACCAGTAATAGCAGAACAGAAGGATCCTGTTTCCTTTGCAGATGTCCCTGTCATTCACAGGCTTTGATTGATGTGGGCTGCATCCTCCAAACAAGAAATATGAAAGTCAAGAGTCAATAGCAGAGACTACCCTATCAATGGGAATAGAAGCAGAGGAAGCATAAGCATTCCCATACATGCTGCCTAAAGCAGCTGTCTGCTGCTAGAAATTATAAAATGCATACCAGGAACCTGAAACACAGAAAGATGGCTGAACTTTTCACATCCATGTTCTGATTACCAGAGGATTACTCTCTCATCCAGCAGTCCTCAGTCTTTCAGCTGTCTTGACCAGGGCATGAAATATTTCAATCATTGTCCAAACTTTTTTAAGTTTTAGCAAAGTTATACTATTGGTAAGGCCACATTTCAAGTTCACTGAAGGATGGTGGCATCACAGGAGATGACTGCATATCCACATGGTGCTAAAGTCATTGCTAATTGATTCTCTGAGACTGAGAGAACAGGTCCACATAGCATATGATGATACAATTCTTAGAAAACTGGCAAGCTATAGAGTCCACTGACACACACCACCATCCTTGAAACCACAGAGTCAGGTGAAGCTATGACTACAGTGGCAACTTTGAGCTACTGGGTGAGGAAAAAACCCAGAGAAATAGAACCATACTGCTGTGTCATGGTGAAGATTACATGGTTGTCCAGGTGGTAGTTTGAGAGATGGAGTGAGACGAGGTGTATATCTTCTTCCATATGAAAAGCTTTCTGGGACACCTGCAAAGTGAGAGAATAATATGACTAATCTATATAGACTCCTTGATGTTCTTCACCAACACAGTCAGAAATATTTTAATCAATTGTAACAGCTTAAAAATAGCCACCACAAACTCATGCCTGTTTTCCTGGGGGAAAGGGTGTTTCTGAAATACAGTGGGTACTCGCAAGAAGGATTGTGGCATACCTCTGAAAAAAGCTGGTCACCAATGGAGTAACCACTGGATCAAAGTGTAAGTAGGTTAGGTAAGATCCCTGGAATTAGGCTCTCACTATGAACACAAGTCTCTTCATGGGTGTTTTGGCTTGAATATATTCTCTGTTTCTCATGGCCAGGTTTATTTTAATAAAAAGGATTCACTCAAGCAGGCAGGAGGGTAATGGACAGAGACTCCCCTCAGGGCACAAAGAGCAAGGAAGTACCATTTCCAAAACAGTAATTGTCAAATCACAGCACCTGAAGGTTGCAGTGCTAATGTAGACTCTCTCACATAGACAGCCAGCAACACAGTGAATCTGGGAGGCTTCCACCACCTATTATTCTCAGCTTTCTACTTTCCTCTCTTTTCAAAGTTGTATTACATACAATACAGTGCAGCTACTGCCAAAGTCCAATCCCCCAAGGAAGCCCAGAAAGTCATTCAATTGTTCCCCATTTTATATGCATCCACATTAATTAATCAGGCAGTAATGGAAGGGACTTTGAATATTTATTTAAACTACATCAAAGGTGCGGCACTGTTTTTTCTTCTTGTATGACCTGCAAGGAAACAGAAAAAAAAAACAACCCTGACAATTCCATTCAAGTTCAAGTTATTTAATCCCATAGCTTTTATCAGGGTATTTTTCCTAAGGGTTTATAGGCTGGGGTTTGTTGTTCTTGCCACGGCTAATTTAGTTCTCTGCATGTGTTTCAAGCATTTTGCTAAGGAGTCACACTGTTTGTAATGATCTTGATGGTAAAAGAATATCAGCCCCTCTCTGAGGTCCTACACTGGCTGAGGGAAAGGCTCCCAGATTCACTATCTCCTTGTCATGCCAAAAGGTACACTATAGCCCATTTCTTTCAGAAACAAATGCCAGCAGGACTGAAATCTGCAAGTTTGCCTGCTCAACATGAGCAGGAAGAAGAGACTGATCCCCTGCCAAGCAAGAAAGTTGAAACAATGAGAACATTAGCCAGATAAACCACAGAGCTAGACTTGATTGCAGACTTAGCAAGGATAAAACACATTTTACTTGCTGCAAAGTGATAGCTTCAAATAGATATTCAAAATATATGACTGAAACAATTTCTCATGCCCACACTCTAAAAAGTAAATCATTGCCTCAGTGCTAGCAGAGCGTACTGCATTACATACTTACCCTTTTCACAGGTTCAACGTCAGTACAACGATATGCAGAGGATCGACGGTTGATTTATTTATTTATTTATTTATTTAGGACAATTCCATGCATTGAATCAAAAAATACTAGCTTTATCTGGCCTTAGGGCTTTCTAACTGTTTATTAAAAACACATGTACTTTAAAAATAGAAAAAAGAAAGTATCATTTTGTTTTTCAGTGTGAGCTATGATTTTCCTCTGTTACGGGTTATAGCAGCATATTTAAATAGAAGCCCCTCTGAACTCAAAAGGAAACTAAAATGACAGAAATTGAAAAGTTTTCTGGTTTCAGGTGCATCAGTGACCCCAGTCCAACTTGTCTGTGGCTTGGTGTTTTGCTCGCTTAATTCAGTGTTTAAAACCCTTTATCTTTCATGGCACATGATTAAATATTAGCAGAAATGCTTACCATTGTCTGTCTCCACCTTCCACCAAGGTTGGTGTTATTGTATTTTAGAAAACACAAGCAGTTTTGTTTCCCTCCTCCCCCAGCCACACATACATAGCAGGGCATTTTGACAGTTCCAGCATGTCTGTTGTGTGAGAGCATTGTGTTTTTCTCATGAGCATCATCCTGGGTCATAAGAGGGATTCTTTTCACATTGCTGCAGCTGTGGAAAAAGTAAGGAAGTATCATTCATGGTATTTGTTTTTTGCTCCTTTGGGAGGGCAGATCCTTCTGATTTAAGCTGTCTTCCAAATAGCTGGGATTCATTAACCTCTGGAGCTGCCTTTTGTGCCTTTTGTTCAGGAGCCTGAGAGATTAGTGTAGACCAGACATCTAGCTTTTTGATAACTATGACTAGTGGAGATAAATCCCACTGTAGGTAACATCTTCTGTCAGTTTTATGAGTCAGGGCTTGTTCCTGGTCACTTCAGCACACTGTTCTAGCTCACCCTGGGTTTTCTTCCTGAACCCCAGTCACAACCAAATCCCTCACAAGAAACCCAGCCACCAGAACTTTAAAGCCATATCACCAGCCTCAGAAAATTGCAGTTGTGTGTATTCCACTGTTACCCTTTTCTTAGTCCTTGTTAAAAAAAAATATATATTGTCAGGGTTTATTCTGCACATGGCACATTCTCTCTGCAGTTCTATATTGCCTCTTCATAGCTAGGCTTTGCTGTCTGCACTAACTGAAAACTATTAAAACCATATAGTATTTCAAAGCAAGCAGGTCAAAACAGCACTCTTCTTAGTATCCCCCTTGCTGCTGGCAACTGTTACTCGCTCTTACAAAGCAGATCATTTAAACCTTGTCTAGTTGTCTCCCACATTTCTAAAGCATCTCCTTCCTGATGGAACTTTAGCTTTAGCTGTCCTATTCTTTCACTCAGGATATTTTCTTCACATTACTCCTGTTAACATAGCATGTTGAAAAATCACTCAGGGCCAAGGCATCTGACAGAGGTCTGCTGCTGTCAGTGCCTATGTCCTAACTGATTGGTTACTGGGTTACAAGAGTTGGGTGAGCTTCTGTGACACAGCTCAGCTCTTAGCAGTCATCACTGGGTCATTAGTCATAGGTAATCTAAGGACTGCAGCATACATTTTTTGAAGCTGGTATTACCAAGCAACAGGAGGTATGTTCCCTGAATAGACACTGAGGTAAGCAGTTTCATTCTGGTATATTATATGCTTATTAAATATTTTGGTGCAGATGTCACAGCAGGTGACTAGAAGATGAGATGGATGTTGAGATGTAACTATTTGAAATAGCACCATCCCCTCTGCCCAAGACAGAGCTGCTCTGTCTGCGTTGCAGTCCTTGGTACCCTGTGTGTCTGGACTGGGGAACTTACAGCAAGATGCTGTGGCTCCCTCTCTACCTCTCCACTCCCACCCAAATATGTTGAGTTTTTTCTTTTTTTTCTAATTTTTTTTATTTTTCAGAGGCAGCAAGAGGTGTCAAGTTCTCGGGTCTTGTCATGACATTCAGGGAGGGAGGAATAAGGCTACACAGAAGAATAGGGTATTTAGGTTAACAGTTATTATGGTGTAGACAGCATCATTGTTGGGAGTAAATCCACAGGCTGCTACCAAGTTAGACTTGTGACTCTTCACAATACAAAACTTTTGAGTTTCTAATACTTAAGTAATGCAAATCCAGAATGATTCTCTTGACCTCAGTTCTGGGTGTCACTGTCATATGCTGACTTTAAATACAATTGTAGCTTTTTGACAACTCAGGGATAAATTCTATGCTGGCAGAACTGATGGGTTTACACAGAGTAGTGCAAATTATTTTAGTTTTTCACTGGCGATGAATGATGTACAGCAAAGTTTAATTGCTATTCTAATCAGGGTGCAATATATTTGCAAAATATTGATTTATAAATCCAGTCCTCCATTTACACCACAGCATTCATCATTGTTACAATTGTGTTTAAGTGTGTGCATATTTATCTTTACAAATACATATGCACTCAAACAATATACATGTATATTTATATACACAACTGCATATATAAATACATGCACACAAGCGTATATATATAAAAACCTGAAAGCTCTTGTGACTTACAATAAATAATTACAAATTGGATAGAGGATAAATGCAGCTTCCTTTTCTTTTTTTTTTTTTTTCCTAGAATAGGTTACATATCCTGTGAATGGAGCTAAAATAAAGCAAAATTTGCAGCACAGAAAGGAAACGGTTTTGATGTTTATGAATCACTACTGCCAAATTTGTACAAGTAAAATACAGTACACAGCAGCTCCCTTCATGTTTAAAACATTCTAGGGCTTAACAAGTGATAACCTGAGATAAGCTACTGTTGGGTCAAAGAATGAATTAAACAAGTGTTGCCTTTAGTCTTGACATGAAAGCATTTACAGACCCAGTGTTCTAAATCTCTGCTGGCAGAATATTCAGAGGTGGAAAATGAAAGAGCACTTAAGATGCACAGGCTCTTTCAGCTATGGATTTATAATGATATTCCTGTAGAGCAGTTGTAGAACACAAAACCTGACTTGGGCAGCAAGGAAGCAATACCTCAGCTGGATATGGTAAGGCCTGGAGATTAGACGTGCACCTGGAATACCTTCAAGAGCTAACAAAAGCCTGAGAATAGATCACCTTCTGGGGGACCAACAGCAAGAAGAGCTGACTTAGTGACCTTCCCCTTCCCTTTGCTGCTTTCTTAAATTCAAACAGTTCCATTTTTCTTCTTGCTTACATTTTGTGGGTACACTTCATGATTGTGTGACTGCCAGGCTGAAAGATGGGTATCACAGGCACAATGGCAATAGACATTATTTGTCAAAGAAACTACTCCCTTTCTGTCTTGAGTGAATCAGCACGATTCAGAGGGGATTTTGCCCTCTTTGGCCAGTACCTGAATTTGTCTGAGCAGATCATTGTGCCGTTTTCAAGATGTGGACACCTGTCAGCCAAGATTCAGAGAACTGGTAAGATCTGAGTGGATGCTCTTTCCCATACAGCATCAAAAAGCTCATAAATGGTTATGACTTGCTCAACTGATCCCAACTCAATCCAGCTTTTTGGTGTGGACCATACTTCATTTTAGTCTCAGTTTCTTATGTTATATTGGAGTGAAACTTTTTTTCCTTCCTGAGCCCCAAAATGCACTTTTAAATAAATGCATTCACTTTCAAAAAGCTCTGGTTTATTTTAAAAAAGCTTCCAAGAAAACCAGTGGGCTAACAACAAAGGTGAAACGCTGAGGGCATTTGGAAGTAGCCAAGACTCAGGTTCTGGACAGATGCCTTTCATTGTTATAACTTCTTCGTGTAGAGTGCAGTACACAGAGCCATAGACTAAATTGTCTTTGACCCAGATTTTGTTTTGCCCTATCTCCTGCCATTTTGAAACAATGTGTTTCTGGAGAATTCCAACAAAGAGTGAAAATCCCTGAAATTGGAAGAAAATGAATCATAAGCACTTAACTCCAGAGTTGCTATCCAAATCTGCCTTGCTGCCACACTCCATTCTTGCCTTGGATTTTGTTTTCCTTTCTGTAAGCTCTAGAAATGCCCACAATTCTGTTTTCCTGACCACATAAAAGCACCCTCTGTCTGAGCATTTCTAATCCAATAAGAATCTAAAAACTATGCAGACAAATACTTGTCCCAGACAATACTTGTCCCTCAGCTGCAGGGACAGGATCAGACGCCACACAGAAGGGACATATACCTGTATTTCCTATGAGAGCTTGCTGGTTAGGAACTGGTAGGCATAGAGTCTGAACCCTCTGCAGCCTGCCAGGGTTCAAGGACATGTCTCCTCTACATTGTGGAAGTGGTCCTAACTAGTGGTCCTGCTAGCCCAAGCAGACACTCTCTCCACTGGGCTTACTGCCTCTGCACAGGAAAAAGAATACTGAAATCATGGGATGAGAGAAAAAAGAAATGCCAGGAGGGTTTGAGTAGTTAGGGCACTCTCCTGCACTCCTGGAGATGTTGGGAGTTCCAGCCTCCACATGCCAAGGGTGGCAGCATACCTGCAACCTTTGAACAAAAAGCTGAATTTCACAAGTCCATTCCTTTATGTAGTCCCCGCTAATATCCCCAGATCTTTGTGAGGTGCAGTAGCACCTTTACTTAACCCACCATTTCACCCATCACTTTGCTGAACATTTCTGCACATAAAAGCATCTTAAAAGGATGATGCTAGTACGTACCAGAGGTTAATTGCAAAAGTCAGGAAAGCTGATGTTTTGCCTGAAAACAAACACAATGTATGTTTGTACTGGAAGTTGTAAACAAGGAGGCATGCTGGGTAGGTAGCCTCAAGCTAGCAGAAACTTTAAAAACCCTGAGACTTGTCTTTACATTATTTATAGGCTGGAGAAGATTCATTGCTTGTGAAACAACAAGCAGCCCTTGTGCTACGTCTATTGACACAATGAAACCTTCTTGGATTGAAATTTCCTTTGATATCATGTAGACAGGATTTTCTTAAACAGGCTGCACTCAAGCTCACCCCTTCTTTCACATGCACGCTCTCTCGCTGTGTCTCATATACTGCATACACTTCACAGTGAACTGAACCCCATGTGATGGGAGAGAATTATCAAGAGAATATGGTATCTTGACAGAATAAATCCGTAAAACATTGATTCTTATTAACTCAAATAAAAACACATTTCATGAAGGCATTAGCAAAGAGTGAAAAAAATGTTATGTACACAAAGTTGGTGTGCTCTCTGCAGAACCCAGCATGTGATAAAGATGTTATTTTTATAATATTATCAGAAAGCAGGGAACAAAGTAAGAAAGAGTACTGAAAGACTAATTCCTCCCCCAGAAAAACAAGACAAAACACCGTCCTAAGAGAATAGTCTGTACTCACTGCCATCCTTTATCCTGAGAGCAGACAGCAAGGGCTCAGTGGGCAAAATTCCATTGCATGTAACTCCTCTGAAGTCCAAGATAGTACACCAGAGATTAACAGAGCCCATTTCAGACTCAAAGCAGTTTTGCATTGTATTTGTTATTTATTGAACTGCAGTAGCCCCTAGAGGCTCTCAGTAGGACTGCTGTCTTGTGCTCCAAGAGCTAACAAGAAAGAACAATGATGGGACATTTGGGCACTTTGATTTCATCAGGGTCTGGCACAAGCTCAGAAGTTTTCTTGCATACCACCTTTCCAGAGACCATCTTCATGTTCTCCTGTTGCATACATTACTGAGAGAGATCCCCTGACAGAAGACCACCAACGCTGGTGGAATTACTACTATACACACAGCTTCCTAATGTCCGCACCAATTAATTTTCACCTGTTACAAGCAATAATTCATTTGCCAGAGAGAAACAATGTCCCTGCCATGTTGTAGATGGGCTTCATAGCAGAGATCTTCTATTAGCCAGTCCCAAGAGCTCCAGAGGAAAAAAAGAGAAAAGTCAAATTTAGCAGTACAGCTGTCAGAAAAACACTAGGATAGTCAAACATGAGCTTCAGCCATTCCCCTGGGGTTGGAAAGAATGATATCTTGTCATGTGGAGATGTTAAGAGAAAAGTAATTAAAAGCTAAGAAAAAAAAAAAAATAAATAAAAGGAGATCTGTAGGAGCACCACCTCTAAAACAGACATTTTAAAGTGCTAAAGACTGCTGTTTCTTTATCTGGGGAAAATTGCCTGTTCTTTTTGTTGTTTTGTTTTGTTTTTCTCCTTTTCCCTAGCCTAAGTCTTCAAGCTATAACATTGCCAGTAAAAGTAGCTTCACTACTAAATAGACTTCATGCAATATGAATATATATATATCACTACATACTGCATGGACAGGCAAAGGATGGCAGTAGATATAAGAGTAATGCTGTACCCTGCCCACTAAACAAACCAGAAGACAGCCTCTGGTGCAGCTGACACTAGCTAATATGCAGTTTAACTTGCACAGCACACTCCCGAGTCCTAAATCCACTCTGTGCACCACTATAAGTGGTCTGAATATGGTTCTTCCATCCAAGGTATCCTGACACGTTTTGTATAAGTAAAATTTTCTTTTTGTACTAGGTTTCTTATAAAAATCCTAAATTGTTTTACGGAATTTTTAAAACTCATTAAGGTCTTGTACAATCGGTAAATATATTTTAATTTAATTGTAATGCAATCATTGATAGCATCAGTATTTTGATCACTGAGATTCATCACAGAGGTGGATGTGCTGTAGTATGGTTGAAACCCAGAGAAGCTCTGACATTCCAGAACAACACTACTTGATTAGTTAGGAAAGGATATGCAAGACAAAATCACATGTATCGAAAGGACAACAAAGAAGGCTCTTGTTTTCAGAAAATAGTCATTCTGAGGAGAAGAACTTGGAGGTATTGGACGATAAAAAGCTCAACATGAGCTGTCAGTGTGGGCTTGTAGTCCAGAAAACCAACCGTATGCTGGGCTACATCAAAAGGAGTGTGACCAGCAGGTCAAGGGAAGTGATTCTTCCCCTTTACTACACTGTTGTGAGACCTCACATGGAGCACTCTGTTCAGCTTTGGGGCCCCCAACATAAGGACGTGGACCTCTTGGAGTGAGTCCAGAGGAGGGCCACAAAGAGGATGAGAGGGATAGAGCATCTCTCTTATGAAGGCAGGCTGAGAGAGTTAGGCTTGTTCAGACTAGAGATGAGAAGGCTCAGGGGAGACCTTACAGCAGCCTTTCAATACCTAAAGGAGCTTACAGGAAATCTGGAGAAGGACTTTTTGCAAGGACATGTAGTAGTAGGACAAGGGGAAATGGCTTTAAACTGAAAGAGGATAGATTTATATTAGATATTAAGAAGAAATTCTTCACTGTGAGGGTGGTGAGACACTGACACAGCTTGCCCAGAGAAGCTGTGGCTGCCCCATCCCTGGCAGCGTTCAAGGTTAGGTTAGATGGGGCTTTGAGCAGCCTGAAGTTGAACCTAGTGGAAGGTGTCCCTGACCATGGCAGAGGAGGTGGAACTAGGTGAGCTTTAAGGTCCCTTTCAACCCAAACCATTCTGTGATTCTATGAATCGTCAAAATTAGTCTTTCTGACTAATCAAATTTGTCTGAAACAATCATTGGACCTTGGCAAGAATCTTTATTTTCTCCATAATCCAAATACTGAGCCTTTTAGCACATGGCTGTGTACTGATCTAAAGGAATTAGGTCTCCCTCGTCACCTGCCAACATCAGTTCTGCAGTTTTCCTCAGTGACTTTTCTGTTGCATGTCTTTGCCTATCAATACCTATTGAGGCTGGATGGAGCTTATGCCTCAGGATATTCTGTTATGGCAATTTAGCACCGATTCCTCTGCTGGCTGTGACATGAGGTCCTCAGAGAGAGATGTAGAAGGCATTTCTTTGTATCTGTTTTTCTCAGTATCAAGCCAAGACTTGTTTCTGCTCCTCAAAGATAAGTAGGGAAAAGAGAGGATAAGAAAAACAGCAATGGGAGGGAAAAAATCATCCAAACACATCCATAGGAAGGTCATAGTTAATGAGGAGAAAATATGAAGAATAGGACATGAAAAGTATAGTGTGACTGAGCAGTGTCACTACCACAGTCCCGGTACAGACACATAGGAGATTAAGGAGACAGGATTTAAAGCAATCATAGCCACTTTTTCTGTGGCTTTCTTTTCCTTTCAGTTAAAAAAAAAAAACAAATGAACTCACTGTTTGTCAGTTTAATTCTGTAATAGAGGCTTTGGCCTGCGCTGACTGGGCAGAGACAGTGGGGTCCCCTGTGGACTCCTCCCCACTTACCTGCATAGCTCCTAGTACCAAATTCAGCCCAGCAGTGAAGGGGAGGAAGGAGCACCCACTTGTCAGCTGGAGGCTCAAACAGCACTGCTAGATGTGTAAGGGAGCACCCACACCTCCTGACAAGGATGTTCCTTGCATATATGTTTCACAAAGCTCACTGCATACTCATTAACTAAATTTCATACTTTGAAACAATGGGCTCAGCCAGGCTTTTGTTCTTGCTGCGAATATGGTTATTCAGCTTTTTGTCGGATCTGACCTAAAGACCACCAACACAAAGATGGGAGCTGAAGGCAGGAAATGCTCGTAGGTTTCACTTACATATGAACTGGAACATAATATAAAATAACTCAGAAAGGAAGGTGTACCAGTACCCATTTCTCATGCCAATGTGTGCAATGGATGGAATTAATAGCATGCCTAATATTTTTGTTAACTCAGAAAAGGTGCTCTGGAGACCTGTTATTGATGACAGTGCTGCATTGTTATGTAGATGAGGCTTCCAACCCAAAAGTGATGAGTGGTGCAGTTCATGCTGCATTTTTGTGGAACAAAGACAAATCTAGCCTTTTAGTCCCTCTGTAGGGTTGACTTTTTGTCATCCTTTAGATCAGATAATTTGGGCTAGTCTTCTGCCTGGCATGAGCAATATAAGTTTAGCAACAGCGGTCATAATGTACTTAAGGATGTAGGGACATTAGGATCCAGACTCTCTGGATCATTTCTCATGTGCTTCCCACAAAGGAAATCTGGCTTGACACAGTTTTTGCATTTAAACTGAGCAAAAACTATGCATTACAGTTCCATCCCCACTGCTACCCTAATGAATCCACTGGGCTTCATAAATATAGTTCCTTCAAAGAGATGCTGTCAATAGAAGTAGAAATCATTCTCTTCAGTGTATGTTTAGAATTAGCTAAAGGCTAACCAAAATACCCCCAGCAGCTGGTGAGCACTTAGGATCTGTATAGTTTCCAGGTCAGAGGGAATTCACAGGGCTCCAAAACTATGCCAGAGTTGATTTGGTGGGCCACTGCAATTTGAAGTTGAGAGCAGCACACACTATGTATTCATAAATACGTGTTTTCCTCAGGAGTTTAAATTTTCCTTCATTTCAGGCTGTGTAGCTAGTTTGCACAACACAATTAACAGAATTTGTTGCTGCAATAGGAGTTTGCAGTAGTGGTTCAAACAGAACACGAGTCACAATTGAATCTAATTCATCTTTTCCTAACTCTATGGACTTCTCAAGGCTAGTGCAAGTAAAGGATTGCAAAAATCCTTTTTCTTTTTTTTGTCAGTGAAGTAAAAGCTCTGCCTATGAATACATACACAAAGCACCCCTGCTGTAAAAGCAGCACCCATTTTACATTGTCACTTCTAGAAAAGGATTTGACTTCCCAGAGTGAGAGAATGCAACACACTACGATTGTGGATTTTATTCAAACTAGCATCTTCAGCAATAAAGTAGTGGGTGTAATCCTTAGAGAGAGGTCTTACCATTTTAATCACAGTGGTACAATGCTGCGTGTAGGCAAGCGATAAAATAAATTTTGAGACCCTGTTCTGAGCAATAGCATTCCTATGTTCTCACTTCGTACTTCTTTTTTCAACCTCCATGAATTAGGATGATTTACAACCTAATGTTAACTTAGATGAAGGCAGAGTTTGCAAGCTGCACATGCAGAGAACAGTATGTATATTTTGGGAGGGTGCTGTGTAGCTCAGATCCCTTCCATCACTTCTGACTTGTATATAGCAAAACTATTTGTTATTCAGTTTTCAAAGACAGCAAAATGTGTCGGCCTGTCACACACTGTAAGCTGCCAACAGGAACTTCTGAAGAAACCCATCTTTCCTTCATGGCTAACAAATAGCAACTTCCAAAAACTAAACACTTGCCTTTTATGTTCTTCAGGAAACAAGAAAGCAAGAACAAAAGAATTGAACATTATCCTCTTCCATGAAGATTCTTTTATGTGCTGGCACTTACAACCTTTTGGAATATTACCTTATTCCGGCTTCATTCACTATATCACCATTAGCTTTGTGTTCTGGATAATGTGGTTAAATTATTGTGAATGCTATAGTTAAATTACAAATGTTGCCTTGGTTGCTAATCCACTGCTGACTGCTTGTTACCTTGGATTGTGTGGCCGGTTACAGTTCACTGCCTTTTGTCCCTGTCTTCCCAGGGTACTATCTCTAACCAATTACCAAGTCTGATGCTTTCTTATTATTCTTGGTAGTTATTAAGCAGAAATCTTAGATTTCCTTTGGCATCATAGCAACAGTGCTAATAAAAACTAGATTGGACCTGGGAAGTAGAAGCTATTTTTTTACCCACGGTGCAAGCCCAGATCAGCCTGCAGCACAGTAGGCTTCCCTGCTTTGCCATGTCAGACCTTGGCTGAGATGCCAAAGTGGACTAATTAATGCTATTTCTGTTGCTGTCACCTACACCCAGGGAGGTAAACTCATACCACACAGCTGAAGTCATGCTATCAACTTTTTTGTGTTCCCATGCAGGCCTTCTGGATTTGAACCAGCAGCCCACGACTGACTCTGTAGCCTGCACAAATTCCTGGAGCTATCTACTGCCTTTGCCATGGATCATTTCAGCAGCATCCAAAATAAGTCAGTAAACCAGTGGACAGAGCCAGCTGGGAACTGAAATTTTTGTTCGCAGGCTATTGTACGTTTCGATAATTGTAGTCCCCAGTTAGAATAAAAACTATGCCTAAAATAACTATTTTCTCCAATTGCCAATTCTTAAAATAGTATCAGTAAAGGACCATTTAAAAATATTTTGCTCTGAATCATTTAACTTTGATTTTATACAACAATCAGTGCTGTAATAGTACATCTTTAACATGCTTAACATCACAGACAGATAATGTATAGCAATCATTTACAACACTTTAAACATCTCATCAAAACTAAATTTTCCAGCATTTTATTTTGAATTTTCCCTATAAAAAGTCAAAAATTGAACTTCTGCAAAATACACTGATTTACATGAAACCACTTTTAATGGATAATTATTTTTCATCACTCAGTGTCTTTTCTAACACTCATAGGTTAGCCATACATACCTAGAACAGCAAAGGCTACTTACTCTGGATCTGCATCTTCTCTCTTTCCTGTGTTATCCTCAGGCTTGATTTGTCTGGTTTCTGGCCCTGTTGGGTGTCATGGCCTGTGCCTCCTTTCCAAACACTGGGAGGGGGAAAGCACAGATATGCCCATCTCAGTGGGCTGGCGGTGACTCTCCCACTTAGGGACCCTCCAGTCCCCTGGCCATATGTGTCAGGCAAGCCAGACTGCTTTACTTCAGAGTTGAAGCAAACACGAAAATTAGCAAAAGGCAGCAGATTCATGTATTGTCTCTAAGACAACTACTAAGATACTATCAAAGATCCACTGCTTGACATCTGTGTCTGTAGGAATTCATTTTCTCTAGGTGTTGAAGCCAATGCCAGGCCTTCTTGTATCTTTGGGAAGAGACAAGACCTTTAAACCTGACTGCCTCATATGTCTTAGATGCATTTCCTTATCATCTTGTCTCTGCAGCAATTTACTACTTCGTAGGGGGTAATAGCACCAGTAATTCAAGTAGCTTTTTACTTTGGCTTTCTCTGTGGAATGATTCTCATGTGAAATCCACTACTTTCTGAGGTCTCGGCAGAGCAGCTGTCGATGCTGCAAAGGAACAAGAGCACTTACCTGTAGAGAGGCAGGAGCAGAGATTCAACTCAGAGGGAATGTTTGTTTTGTCTGCACCACTGAGAAGAGCCATGCTGAAAAAGATGGCTTACAAGGTATAGATGAACAAAGAACTAGGTTTTCCTTAGTGGCAGGCAAGAGCACATGGCATTTGATGTATCTCAGTCAATGTTAGATGCTGACTAGTAGTAAACAGTTCTTTCCCATCTATACTTACAAACCTCTGCTAGGTCTGGGAAGCCATGCTGATTTCTGTGGCAAAAGACATGGACTTCTCATTGGTGCCAACAAAACCACTCAGGCAGGGCACTTTTTTGTAGAAGAACAGGCTGAATTTTATAACAGAAGAAAATGTTTCTACCCCCCCAAAGAAAACAAAACTAAAAAAACCTCACTATAACATGGCATATATTTTAGCTAAATTTTACATAAATCTGAAGCAAAATTAAGATGCTGAGTGCCATTTCAAATGGAAATTTTAGTTTCATTTTTACAGTTGAAAATATTGTACTCGTGAAAACTCATGATTTATAGAATCATGTTGCCTGCATACCAGCATAATACTGCCTTCCTTAAATTTGAATCTCTTGCCTGAGTTCAGCCAAATTTGGCAAAGATAGAGAGTCCTCAGAAATAATAAAGGCTCAGCAGATTTCTTGACTATCTTCAGAGCAGCCTTTGAGTGGCTATGCAGAAAGAGTGAGACCCTGTCAGCGGCTCTGGGAAGAAGAGGCAGCAATGTGAGTTCACCTGTTACATGTCAAAGAGTTTGCACAAGAAAAAGACATCAGAAAATGTTCCAGCACTTGGAAATTTTCCATTAGAGCTCTAAATAACTGCAAATTCAAATCCACTAGAAAACAGCCACCCTACATCCACATCTTACAAAACTGTTTTTCTTCTTTTTGTTATATCTTTTTTTGTTTTCTATCCTTAAATATAATGCAAAAAAGAAAGGCAGGTACTGTTCCCTGTCCTCCAATTTCTTTTCTTTCTCTACTCATACTTTTTCAAAATTCACCCCAGGGACAAGTTTTCAAATGAAAAAGTGAGCATGAAGGTCTGTAACTGATGCTTGCTAACTTTTACAAACTCAAGGAATGCTTGTGAAAGAGGACTTAGCAAAAAATAAGCCTTGATTTACAGGGAATTTTTTTTTATAGCAGGAAAAAGGTAAAATTTCCTGGAGAAAGAGGAAAATAAAAATCCTTCATTTCCAAAACAAAACTATAGTAGGGAAAAATTAAAGTGGCTCATATGGATTCCCCAACTTGAAAATAATTTAAAACTTCTATGTTTTGCTGTTTTAAGGAATGAAACTGAAAGGTCCAATAACTTGGTCATTAAGTTATATAATTATTAAGTAAGTTTGTATGGTCATTCCCACACAAAAGCAGAAACATCCCTTATAGTATATTTCCCATGATAGGCTGCTCTTTTAACACATATGCTTATCAGTGACACCTGAAATATGTGACTCCAGCTTTTAATCCCTGAAGGCAGTTTGTTACAAGTATGCATGTTGATAACGGCTAACATGTATTTATATCTTAATTTTCAGTGCCCAAAAGGCACATAAGTCTTTCCCTACAAATAACACTTAAATACAGTTTTGGATGCTGGCAGCTATTTTGCCATTAACTTCTCTCAGGCCAAGAAGGCAATGAAGATTTTAATTATGCAGGTCATTTGTAGAAAGCCTTCCCAAAGCCCAGTGGGATAACTCACTTATTGGAAATTTCATGTTTCTACATATCTGAATATGAGCCAATTTTTCTTTTCCCTTCTATGAGGATAGGCTATTCACGTTTGGACTGCAGCAAGGACAAGGGATTTTTAGACTACAGTATACCTAATTCCTGCTTTCCTGTTCTTATGAGTATCATTTTTTCTTCTTTCTTTTTCTTCCCTTTGGGAATAAGATTATCTATTGTTTTAAAGATGATCTCAGTTTTCTGAGATCACCTCATCTGGGTAGCTTGGTGAGTTGATTTTCTAGGAAACAGTGAAGTGCAAAGCACAAATGGAATTGCTTTAACAGCTATCAGGATGGGATCTGCATGAAATTTCCCCCACTGTCTCAACTGTTCTCACTATATGCCAAATCACAGTTTCAGATAGCTGAAATAAATAGATTCATCTCTTCAGACTTTGATTTGGCTGCCACAGAACTCTGAGCTTTCCAAAGACAAAGGCTCCTTCCATAGTCCTATACAAATTCCAGAGAATTTGGATTTACAACCTGTACAAAATTTCAGAAAAGCAAAGGTATATCACATTGCAAAACATTATCCTGCTCCAACTGGCATGGCTTCTGCCATGAACTGACAGGTTTGTTTGAAAGCAGACAGTGTGACCCACAGCGGACTCTCAGAAGTCTCCCCATCTGATATCACAGTGAGAAATTAAAAACAACAACAAAAAAGTATACGTTTAAATTCCCAAGTGCCAGGTATAAGCAGTTCATCTGCACAATCTGAGTCTGCTTCAGCCTTACAGAGTTACATTTAAGCTATCCTTCCAGAGCACATCTCCTGGTCGCTTCCTGGTAGCCTGCTGCAGGACAGACTGGCAGGTGATGCCCTGTATGTGCCTTTCCACTCATAAGACCTGTCTGCACCACTCATTTGGGATAAAGTCAACACCCCAAACAGAAGGGGTACTGGGACCTCCCAATTCCTACTTGTGTTCTGAAACTCCGGATTAGTGATGGGTAACATTAATCCTCACAACACTGAGTGATTACCTGACATTTAGGAAGCCTGGAGGGCAAAGCATGCCCAGTCTTTACCAGCTGGTGGAAGATGGCTGGGCATTACAGAGCTCCCAGAGCCCATGACCATACCAACCTAATCCAGACCAGGAGGAGTGGTGTCCCAGTGGCAGCAAGCCTAAACCCAGCTGAGCACCTGTCAAGAGATGTAATTGCAAGTATTGTGGACTTCCTACTACTGTGTAATCTTTGATTCAGGAAGCACCACCGGTCACTGTCCATGCAGATCCCTCTGTCACAAGCTCAGCAGTGTGTCCCTTGAATGATGGGCATGTACCACTCATATAACAGCAGATACAAACAGACCACATTGAACTCCAGCAAGTCTATGAAGTTTTGCTCAGCTCTGCTGAGCACTCTGCTGGCTATAAAGCATGTGAGTTTCACAGATATTCTGGGGTTTGGGATGGTTTTATTCCACTGTCATGTGTTTAGCAGCCCTGTTTCCAGAAGATCATCACAGACCCCTCAAATAGCAGTGACTTTTAATTGCTACTATCCATATGGGATTTGAACCAGTGACCCAGAGATTAAAGAAACCATTCCTGATCCCATTACCCATCTCCTGAGTCCACCAGTCCCTGAAGAATGTGATTCATTAACTGAACTGCTCTTTTGCTGACTCTATTTTTCCAGCACCTCATAACCTGCATGAAATGACAATATTTTTCCCATTCTCACTATATGTATGTCAGATACTTATGTATCTCCAGTTATTTTGCTAGCTAGCCTCATAGGAGTTGTGTAAATGGCATTATCAAAATTGCATCTCCCTAATTCATTATTTCCAATTTTATAAAATAGCTGAGTTAGTGAAGACACTATCAAAGGAGTTTTTAAATAAACATGTTTAATCTTGTGGAGATTAAAAGCGATAGTATGGGTGACATATAATGACTATTTTACCCCAAAGCCATCAGAAATACAACGTCAAAGGAAAACACATCAAACAAATAGTCACAATAGAGAGCATTTCAATAAGAAGATAATCACACTGCAGGATTTGCTTCAACTCAGTGGCCTAAATATTTCCCTATATGAAAAACAAAATGAAAAAGGAATATTTTAAGAAAAAAACTAAACACAATTATACTCCACAGCCTGTTTAAAAAGAAAAAAATGAAATGCAGTGGATATCTAAAGTAATTTATTTTAAAATTAATTCCTAGAACTTAAAGTTGTCCAACAGACAAAAATTAAAATAATTTAAGAAACTAGGAAAAAAAAAGGCAAGATCAATTTCTAGCATGATACAAATTTTTATTGATAAGAGTAAAACAATTAGGCAATGTGCCTCTAACCTGATATCAAGAAAATTACACTGACTGTCTGATTATCTTAGTATTTTTTTCCCAAAGAATGTATGGTATTCAGAAGAAACACATGGCCTGCCAGTGTAGAAACTCATGGGAAGCAGTGTAGATTGAACTCTGTAGAAAAAGAATTAATTTAATAAATCACAAATCCTTCTGCTACTCATGCTGGCTGAAAAGGGATGGCTGATGCAGGATAATGCCCAATTTTCACGCACTGTGCTGGTCTATTAGATGTACAGGTGTTATAAAGGTCTGTCCAGATCCTCTGTTGGTGTAACTGGCATAAATCAACTGAAGTAAATTGAGGTATTCAAATTTACTTAGGTAGCTGGGAGAAAATCACATATACATTTGCAGCCTGAGAAGCCCAGAGAAGGGTATTTTAAGGCATATTTTATTCTTTGAAGTTAGGAATGTGATCAACTCCTTCCAACAGATGCAGCCTCTTTGTGACTAATGGCTTTTCCACTGACTAAATATTTGGACTCATGCTCCATAGGGCCCAAGCTTCCTGCCAGATTTTCACTAACCAAGATCTCATTTCTATTGTGTAATTATTCTATTAATTAAGTTTTCACACATTTCAGTCATGTGCAATGTGGCATTTGATCTGTCCCCAAATCATTCTACAAACACAACGAGCCAAAGCACAAACGAATTCAGAAATGGTACCTGGCTATACACTTTTGCTAAAAATTTTGGGTCACGCCGCTTGCCAGATGATCGCCCATATAGCCACCTGACTAGCACATGGCCTAGCTTAGTAAGACTCAATGCTTTCCAAACAGACAAAGCCAAAGGCATCAAAGAACCATGGATCACCCACAGCATGTGGGAAGGAAGAGCTTTGCTCGACCCCTCTAAAAGACTAGGCTGGAATCCACTCCCTCACTTCTTTTGTCCCCAGGCATTTTGTTTTTAATAAATGTTGATAAGATAGCTTCAAGCACTGCGAACTCAAACCCACCTGTGTAATATTGCTTGTTTACCTGGCATTACAATAAAACTTCACCTTGGGTAAAGGAGCCCCACCACAGACTTCATATCAGTCACCACCTATGAACAGTACATGCTATGTTCACATCAGCATCAGGAGAGGAGAAACAAGAGGTCGTCTCCCTTTTGCTTGAAGCTACGGACAAAAGATTTTTACTCTGTTTGACTTCTTTCAGCCCAGGTTGTATGGCAAACCCATTTTGTATCAAACAGTGGGCGGGCTT